TTGAAGTCGAAAACGAATGCCGAGTGATAGACTTTTTTGCCGTAAGAAAATACGTTGTCCAGGGTGCACCACGTGGAGGTAAGTCTATCGAGCACCCCCCATTCAATATATATATATATATATTAAGGACATTTCAATTTCTGGCACGGTAATACCACCGCTTATTCTACCACTAGAACATTTTCTAGTGATCCTTTTTGTGCTTGGTTTCCTTGTTACTAGGGCGCTTTGGGTGTTGATATGATGTATTTTTGGCTTATTGATCTCATGACTATTGCTCTATTGAGTGGACAAAGGGAGTTTTGGAAATTTGCAGGCTGCATTTCATTTTGACACCAAATTTCCCCTTGGACTGCCACAGTTCTGACTTCCATGGCATAAAGCTACCTTGGCTTTGGAGTCATTTTATTTGGGATTTGTTATTGTTGGTCTTAAGACCCCGCTTTACATCCTTCACATTTGTCTACGATTGTCAGGAAAAATCAATGTTCTAAATTCCACTTTCCCTCCACCCCCTTAGTTTATTGTCATTCAATTTATATTTCTTTCATTTGCTCTGTCGCTCTCTCTCTCTCATTCTGTCGCTTTTGGTGGAAATCTTGTTTACAGTACGACAGACGTTATTTGCTATTGAAATAATTGCAAGTTTGGCTGTCCTGGCACTTATTATTACATTGTAGCAAATTGGTTTCTACTTAGTATCGATAGTGGCACATTTTATTCTTGTCGTTATTGTTGTTGTTGTTCTTGAGTGGGTTTTTGTATATGGCAATAGGTCTGCTGTATTTGGTAACTATCGTGTCCACGATTTGGGACATGACTGTTGTTGCACCAATGACCAAACGGACCAAACCTCAACAATGCCCTATAGTCCATGTGAATATGATTGCTACCGAGATCTGCAAAGTTACTTCAAGAGCATGGAGAAGGCAGATCGGGTGTGGAGTGAATTGAATTGCTAATTGAATCGTGCTATGGGCATCTGGCAGGAACCATGGTAGTTAAAGTGTAATTGATGTCACACTAACAATGCAACAACAATTGATCAGTGGGTGTCTGAGAGATCTTGGCACTCATGACCGCACTTGCCCCGACTGCTCGGGAACCCAAAAGATGCCACGTTCAGGCTTGGCAGCGTTATGCCCTCTACAGTTGTCAATTCAATTAACCTGGCATCTTATAATTAACCGATTGTTCCGTAATTAGTGTGCAATGACTCTCCATATTCTGAACCTTGATAGACTTACCTCCACGTGATGCACCCTGGGCAACGTATTCTGATACGGCATAAAAGTCTATTAACCGGCAGTTGACTTGTGACTTTAAACAGCCATGATCCCATTATATGTCATATTCGACTAATTCTACAGTACTCACCTCACTTTTTTTCTACCTATTCTATTTTCGTCTTTGAAGCACTCTTCTGTTTCCCCCCCCCCCTTCTCCCTCCGACTTTTTTCACTGCGATGTTCCTTTCCCTCTGAGAAGCTTGAGGTCAACTAAAGGGCTAATGATAGCCATCAAAACGCCTGCCATTTGATATAAATAAATATTATGAGCCTTCATGCATTGTCAGTGCTTTACATTTACTGTTGACTAGTTCGGCGCCTACTTCGATTCCTTCATATTTACCAATTGTCAAAGTCTTACTTGTTTCAAATAGATTGAGGAGAAGAGTCAGCATTTGAAAAATTTTCATTTCGTTTCTTTCAATAGTTTGACTAGGATACCATTGGTGGCAGTCCACACACTATTGTCTCAAGTTCACTGGAAATCTGCTCGAATTGTCGCCATGATGGAGTGAATCCACAAATTATTCTTCAAAAGGGATTTTGCAAACTAGCTCCAATTAGTTTGTTTTGCAATACCTCTGCGTTTTTATTACCCCTTATCTTGAGTTAATTGGTAACTGTCATTTATGCCTATTTTTAATAGATTTTTCTGTCCCACCACCAGGGATGGGAAGGTCATAAATTATTCAACTTGTAGTGTTTGGGTCTTGGTTAAAGTGCTTGGAGTGATTGGGATACTTTTGCGATGCATCAACTATTGGTAAATAGGTAATACTGCAATTTGAAATCACACTTTGAAGTGCTCCCATTTAGTCATTGCCAGGATGTTGAGTAAACGTTCTTCTCAAACTATGAAACACGCAAATGAACAAATGATTGAATAAATAAAGAGATGAAGGCGACTCCTGATAGTTATGTGGACTTTGGCGAGTTGCTGTGACGTCGAACTTGGAGAAGCTTGCCATGTTCAAGTTGAAAGTGTTTGTAGATATGTCTTTATTTGATGAGATGTTATCCTGACCAAGTATTCCATGTATTTAAGCACAGCATGTGTTTGTTTCAATTCTGACGAGGTATTCTTATTCAGTATCGACCAATTAATCGCGCTCTTCGAATAATGTTTCCAGTTGTTTAAAATGTCAATATTACGACACAGGAAAGCATGGTTCTCTTTTAAGCTCAATGTTTCAATTTACTCACCTATTCACTTACCGAGGGTGGAGAGCTAACGAAGTAGACCTCCAATGGTGAGTAAATCGAATCCTTTGAACCTCTACATCTGTCAGACTTTGTCCATTCTGTTGGCAATTCCCCTCACTAGGTTCGCACTGTTGGACGTAAAACGTTCGGGCTGACTATTGTACTATCGTCGTTCAAACTGATTTGCTAATCGGTGTTCATTGCCCACTCATGTCTTCCACTTGTCTTTGAATCGGCGAGCCCATTCAACACAAGGCTTTATCTTCCCTCTAGATACATATTCTCCATGGTGTTGAGACCCACTTAGAGGGAAGTTAGCAGGACTTAGAGGAGGTAGGATGAGGGTAGCTAAAAAAACAATCAAGCACATCAATAAATCATAGAAATTCTATTCTCCTGTTGTACTTCCAGATTATCTCATAATCCGCCTTCTTTCTTACTTTTGACTTTTATTGAAAGTTGGTCACCTTCGATTGCACATACTATCATATCAAACACCTGCACCAATGGCGTGCGCTTGTGATGCACTTTTGTCATCCTCATGACTCCCTTCACTCAAGCTTTACGTTGTCTTGTGTAACGTTGAGAATTGAATTAAGCTTATAACATTCTCTAAGCACTGTATTTCATCAATTTACACATGTGCTACTCAGTGGGAAATAAGTAGTCAATGTATTTTTATTCCATTTTGGCCAACCAGTAATCTACATATATAAATACATTTTAAAATTTCAATATCATTCATATTAGCAATTAGAAATGCCAAATATCCTTATTCTGGACATTGCTTGCAATTTCAACTACCTCCCTGAGAGAAAATATTTCAAAGGGGGGGGGGGGTATTTCACAAATTATTTCCCATTCAGATCGAAATATCATCAGTCTACGAATATGCATATTTGTTTGTCCATTCAAGTTTTCAAATAAGATGCACAACCACTCCAGTATTGGTCAAATTGAAACATAGAACTTTCATTGCAATCAATGTCTCTCCTATAAACGGTCGGTTCGGGAAATACGTAATGAGCATGGCTACAAATCCAACTCAAACAGTCGTTCAACTTCCTCTTGCCTTGAGCATGTTGAAAATCAGGTGAAGTAAAAGTTTCCAGTTTACTTCATCTTATATTCACCTTCTTCCAGCTTTCCTACAGTTTTTAAATGATGCGAATTCTGATAAATGATTGGTTTTGTTTCGCAAATAAATTATTAGATTACTTTCCTCATTATTTGTGTGCAAATTGCATCATAATTGAATTGTGTTTGAGCTAATCATTGGAAGCCTATTGAAGTTGTACTGCAATTCTGCACCTTGTATTCCACATTTATAAATTGTCTGACGTCAATGAGGAATGAGAAGGAGACGGTTTGGAATCCATAATAGGTTGGGTGTGTGTCTTGACCCCCTCCTCATCGATGGGTGACACCCTTCATTTAATAATAAAACGGCGGTTTTCCATCAAGTAATTAAGAAAATACCACGATAAGTGTTGCCCATATGTATTTTTTTTAAAGTCATTGATTTTAAAGGCCATTTTTTTAAAATGTTCTGAGAGGTCAAGCAAATCAACAACCCAAAGTGAGGAGAAGGTAATTGAAAATTAACGAATTCCTGTGTAAGCACTCGCAGGCCTTCTACATTTACTGTTCTTTGAAGATCCAAAAAAGAAAGCGTACGAAATCAGGTGTAGGAGACAAATTTTATGAAATATTGAGGTTCCTCTTCTGTTAGGACTCGTAATGTGGTCGAAGTATAAGAGAAGGAATGTCATCACTCAGTTGTTAAATCCACAGTTGTGGGCATTTTATGGAGAGGCTTCTATTCGCACTCAGTGTAGAGGTCAAGTTCATAGAAGTTAGATCCTCCGGATTTCCAAGTGGATTGCCGTCTACCATCTCAGTCCCTAATGACTTTGTCCAATCAATGGAGGTCATGGTTTACTAGCAGTCTCTTCTAATGTGTAAGGAAGTGAAGCATAACAATGGTCTCCTTGATTCCACGAAGCATGGCATAGAGAACTTCGCTCAACGAAGGCTTAGATAACTTGATAACTTATAACAGCTCAGAAGACTGAGGCCGTGGTTTGATTTTGGTGAAAAGAGATTCCAGTTTGCAGAGATTCAACTTGATATGTCATATTACTGAATTTCAATGTATTTAATAGGCTGACATCCTAATGAAACCCAAATTTTGAGTAGTTCTAATCCGATTAACCCAGCTCATATCCCCCTTCATCCTCCTATTTCCCATCAAGTCAAAGGTAAGCCTAGAGGGTTCGCAAGTTCCCTCGTCCGTTAAACTCTTTGGAGGGGAAAGCTACGGTTCACATAAAAATTCTTAAAGTTGTCACTTGGTCAAAATGCCACTAATGTGGCGTTTTCGTGGGGTGATACAAACCATGCGTGCGTGCTCATGTGCTCACTACTAGGGAGCCAATAGGAATGCAACGAATTGAGATATATAAAATGGCACAATTTACTGAGAAAAGTATTCATTACCCTAGCACAATGGAGGTTCTGAAAGTTCTTAGTTTGTTCGCACTTCTTGTGTGTACGAGGGCTGTAAAAGCAGACCCAAATGACCCACCGCCAGAGCCACTGCCAGAGCCACTGCCAGAGCCACTGAAAGTGGTGCCTGAGGAAAAAAATCCAGATTTCTGGGTAAGACAGGCCAAGGAAAGGTTCGCCAAAGATTGCAAGATATTCAGCTCTCTGAGAACCTCTACCCATGCCAAGAATGTGATCATGTTGTTGGGTGATGGTATGGGAATGCCAACAATTTCTGCCAGTCGATTCTACATCGCGGAAATGCAGGGTCGAAATGGCTCTGCTGTTTTCCACCCCTTCGAAGAGTGGGATTTCAATACGATGGCCAGAACCTATGATCTTGAGACATCAGTTACTGATTCCGCCAGTTCAGCTAATGCCTACCTGACTGGTGAGAAGGCTATTACACCACTAATTCGTCTTATTTTCTAGGCTCGAAAACGCGAACTGGCATGATTGGAATCGACGGCAATCTAAACGTCAAACAATGTGGAAAATGGGACTCACAGCATTTCACGCAATCAGTTCTTGAAGCTGCTTACAGGGCTGGCAAAGCAACTGGTGTTATTACAAACACAAGAATAACCCATGCTTCTCCATCAGGCACTTATGCTCATGTCACCCACCGTGACATGGAGAGTGACG